GTGAGTGACAGAATACAGGGATGTATGTGTGTGTTGTGTGTGTGTGTGTGTGAGAGAGAGAGAGAGAGAGAGAGAGAGAGAGAGAGAGAGAGAGAGAGAGAATGGGTATGTGAGAGAGAACACAAATGGGCATGTATGTCATGTGTCAAAGAAACAACAAGGGTGTTTAAGGAGAGAATATGATAGTGAAAGAAAGAATATACAAAGGTATGTGGAGAAATATAAGGGGGGGTGAGAAAAAGAAACACAATTGTGCACATGAGGGAACAAGGTTGTGTAATGTTGGATATGAGGTAGAAATCAGAGGGTGTAAGAGAGGATACAATTGTGTGTGTGTGTGTGTGTGTGTGTGTGAGAGAGAGAGAGAGAGAGAGAGAGAGAGAGAGAGAGAGAGAGAGAGAGAGAGAGAGCTCAAATGGGGGTGTGTTAAAAGATGCTAATGAAAGAGAACACAAGGGTGAGGAAGACAGCACAAGGGCACCAAAGGAGAACGTGAGGGTCAGGAGAGAAGGAAAATGTGAGGCTGTGTGCAGGATGCCACATGTGTGGATCTGAGTGGGCACTGGGGATGGCACACACATGAACAAAGCAGTCAGAGGGGGTGAGAAGGGCTGAATTGTATGGGTTCAGTGCTGGCCAGGAAACAGAGTAGGGAAAGATGCCAGGTGTTCAGTGTGTCAGGATGCATGTGTGTGTATGTTCAGGCACGTGTGAGTGGGCATGTGTGTGTCTGTGTGTGTGTGTATAGGGAGGGTGATGGAGGGCGTGTGTTTCTGTGTGTGTGTGTGTGTGTATGGGGAGGGTGATAGAGGGCGTGTGTGTCTGTGTGCAATAAAGAAAGAGCAGGAGAAAGACACGAGACGTCTTAGGAATCAGCAGGCCCAGCTCCCCAAGTTTGCAGTCCAAGAGAAACAGGCTAGGGGTGTGAAGACACTTGTTCAAGGTCACAGAGACAGCAGGATCTTGGTCTGCAGACTCCCAGCCCAGGGCTCTTCTCTTCCTCCCACTCCCTTCCCCCCTTTCCTCCTCCATCCATCCATCCTCCCTCCCATCTGCATCCCATCCCCCTTTCTCTTGACAAGCTGGCTGTTGCCTTGGCCAGCTACCAGCTTGAGGAGGGGCCTTTCTCCAGGAGTCCCAGTACCTTCCACATCCTAGCTGATTGTGGCTCTATCTTCCTCCCCTTCCCTCATCCCCCTCCCTATAACTCCCTTGTCTTCCCCCCTCCAGCTAACCCTCCCCTATCGCAGAACCACAGACTCTCAGACCTATGCCTGAAACAGACTCTGTTTTATAACCTACCTCCTCAGTGGTCATCCAGCCTTTGCTTGGAGATATCTAGTGACAGAGAACCCACCACCTCTGGAGGCAGCCCACTCCTCTCATTGTTAACAAGTTTTCCTTTAAATCAAACCTAAATCTGCCTCTTTGCAAATGACACCCATTCGTTCTAGCTCTGTCTTCTAGGGCCAAGCACAAGTCTCATGAATGCCCCACAAATACTTGATGGCAGCCGTCATGTCCCCCTCCTGTTTCATTTTTCTCCAAGCTTTGATCCTTTTACAGTGGCACGAACTCAAGCCTCTTCAGCATCCTGATTGAGCTCCTCTGGCTCATCTGTACTTTATCCTTGTCTAATCATTTACTAAAATTCAGCTCCTGTAGCCTAAAATACTCCAAACAGGGTACGACCAGGGAAGAGGGCAGGGGAACTAAATATCTCCCGGGTGCTGGACTCTATTCCTCCATCCTACCGTTAAAAGCATTGACTTCTTGGACTGCCGCCAAAGGCACCCTGAAGTCCAATAAGACTCAGGCTTTTCTGATGAACTGTTGGGATGGCTAAGCCTCTTCTATCTTGTGGTTTGGAAGATGATTCTTTGGACCCAAATGGAAGAATTTACATTTGGTCCAGCCCCACCCATGGTTTCATCTTCCTAGATCGGTCTATCCTGTCCTGATCCAGTTGAGCTCAAGAACCGTGTATTAGGTGTGGCTCTACTATGTGCACGGAGTTCGTGCTCATCCTTTTGGGATGTTCTACATTTCCTATCTTTCATTATTAAAAAATTCCTTGGGAGCTCATCTCCCAGGGTCCAGACAACTCGCTGGGGGTGGGGCCGGGCTTCCCATTTCTCTCGACGTATCTAGGTTACCAGAGGAGAACTTGGGCTGTTCAAGGGCTATCCTTGGCTCTCACCATATAGGAACAGCCCATTTTAGCGCATGCATTTCTTTGATGACTTCCTTTCCACGATTTCCCCGGGTGTTTCCTCCTCTGTCACGTGTTACAGTCCATTCATGCCACCCCTCCAGGGCTCCATTGCCATTTGGGGGTGGGGGAGAGTTAGCTTCAATTTCAATTACTGGCTCCCATAAGAGCACGTCGAAAGCATAGCAATGTTTAAAATATGGGCTGTGGTTTCGTGGAGAAGCTCGGGGTCCTCCAGCGCCTTAGCCCGTCTCTCTGACCAGCAGGCCACCTCCTGCCCTCCATCCACTTGGCTGTAGAAATAGTACAGATCCCGGGGACGCTCCACGGGAGACTTCCCTCCAAGTGGACCTCAACGGTCCTAACTTTAGTCTCCTGTCCCCAGTGCCCCCACCCCATCCCCACCCTGGTCCTAGCACAGCCGTTGGGGGAAGGGGACGGCGGGCAGCCCTTCCCCTCACTCCCAGTGGTGTCTTCTGCCGAGCTCTCCGCCCCTCCCCCGACACCTGCGGGTCGGCGCACGCAGGAGGGGAAGCCCCGGCTCGTGAGCCTTGAGCCCTTGCGCAGGCGCCGAGCGAGCCTGGCTTCCCCCGAGCAGCCCAGCAGCCGCCCCCGCAGCCTGTCAACCGAGGCTCCCGGTCGTCATGGCAACGGGCAGCCCTGCGGGGATGTACCGCGGTGGAGAAGTGGGGGGGGAGAAGGGAATCTCATAAGAAAAGAGCGAGAGCCCCCCGCTCCTCCCCCACCCCTCTTCAGTTCCCTCCGTCTTCTCCTTTCAGCAAATCAGTAATTCATCCTTGCTCCGGTTTAAGCCAGTTCCCCCACCAGCCCCCTCGAGACAGACTGCAGAAAGGGTATGGGGGTGGGGGGATTCCCCGGCCCGGGGGCGGCGCATGCGCGTGGGCCCGGGGATTCCGCGCGGAGGATGTCGCAGTGCGGGGGGTGGGGGGCAGGGACTCCTCATGCTGGTGCTACTGCTGCGGAGACCCCCTCACGTTTGCTAGGGCGCCCCTAAAGTCTCTTCCTTGGCCAGACATCCCCCAACGCACGTGTACGGTCGTGAATCTCCGAGTCTCCCCCTCCTGCAATGCTGGGCCCCGTGGAGCAGCCCCGTGTCTCCTCCTGATCCATTCCTGGGCCTCTCCCTCACGTCTCCCTTCTCCATTCCTGGGCAACCCGCCTGCGTCCCCTCCCCCGTCCCTCCAGCCTAGTGTCTCCCGTTTTCCCTCCTGCATCCTTATGCTTCCTCGAGAGGTCTCTCTCCCCCACTACAGCCCCAGCTACCCCTTCCCATCCTTGGGTGTCCCCCTCCGCCATGTTTCCCCTTCCTTTGTCCCTGGATCTTCCCCCCATCTCCCCTCTCCCTGTTGGCCCTCGGAGCCCCGCAGTCCCCGCCACGTCACAGCAGTCCCTTCCTACCCCTCCCCCTCCCCGGCAGGCCCAGCGCGAAGGGAAGCCCCGGCTCGAGAGCTGAGCGCTTCGCGCAGGCGCCCTGCGAATCTGGCTTTCCCCGGCTTCAGCCGCCCCCGCTTGCCGGCCGAGGCGCCCCATCGTCATGGCAACGGGCATGCCTGCAGAGACGAAAGGGGGTTGCCTAGCTTTCCCTTAAGCTCACTTCACAGCACCCCCTACCCCACCCGCAGGGATCAATAATTCATCGTTGCTCCGGTTTGAACCGGTTTTCCTAATCGCCTTCGCCGACCCACGGCAAACAGGGGGTGTGTGTGGGGATTCCCCGTTCGGGGCGGCGCATGCGCAGCAGCCGGGGATTCCGCTCAAGGAAGCCGCAGTGCGAAGGGAGGGGAGGGGAGGGGAGGGGAGGGGAGGGGAGGGGCGGGGAGCCTCGTGCTGCCGCTGCGGCGGCTGCTATGAACCTTGATCGCTTCCCAGGGCTTCCCCAAAGGTTTTCCTGTCCCACCACCCCCAACATGTTGTTAGAGTTAGAGAGAGGCCTTGACACCAATTAATATTTAATTTTATCCTCACAAGGGCCCGGGGTGGTAGATGCTATTATTATTCCCATTTTACAGATTAGGAAGCAGAGGCAGGACTTGCCCAGGATCACACAATGTTTGAGGCAGGAGTTGAACTCATATCTTATTGATTACAGGTCCAGAACTCTATCCACTGAACCACCTCCCTGTCTCCAAATGGGCTGCAACCATTTGTTACCGTGCCTGCCAAGGCACCAGGGGATACAAAGGCAGCAAGGAAAATGTCTGCCCTCATAAGGGAGGAATAGGTTTAGAGAAGGAAGGGGATAAACATTTATATAGCACCTATTATGACTTTTACAAATATCTTATTTGATCCTCACAATAATTCTTAGACAGAGGTGCTATTATGATCCCCACTTTACAGGTGAGGAAACTGAGGCAAACAGGCTAAGTAGTGCCCAAGGGCATAGCCAATATGTGTCTGAGGCCACATTTGAGCTCAGGTCTTCCAGCCGCCAGGATCACCAGCCAGCTGCCTCTGGAAAGGCCTTTTGCCCAATGTCAAGAGGGATTCACTAACTCACAGAATATTAGAACTGGAAGAGGCTCTCATCCAGACCTGAGGTCATCCTCACCTGAAGGCCCCATTCCCTCTCACAGGCTGTAAAAATCACCTACTTAGTCCATAAGTGAGGCTGTGTCTATGTTGCTCTCCCCATGGGAAGGGAATTGCCTTGCCTGAAATCTGATGCTTCGACCAGGGCTCTTGCAGAAACAGCCATCTGCCCCTTTCTGGAGTTCAACTGTTATGCAACAGGTCAAAATGGGACACAGATAACCAGACACCTACACAGGTTTGGGACCCAGTTCTGTTTATTTAATGAATGGATTGCACACTGAGCACCTACTGTGTGCAGGGACCTGTTCTGGGCTACATCAGGAGGGGAAGACAAAGGATGGTTGACCATCCATTATGAGCCCTTGGGGGAGCTCCCAAGCTAGCTGGGGAAAGACAGGGGGCACATTTAATAACTACAATAAAAGAGAACGGGATAAAGATCGCAGGAAGGGCCCAGACATGAGGCTGTGGATCTAATTTACTTCTTCCTGGGGAGTGGGGTAATTGGAGAACTTTCTAGGCATGGACCTTGCAGAATGGATAGGATTTCAGCATAGAAGGGACAATAAGTATTCCAGGTGTGGAGAATAGGTTTCCCCACTCAAACTGACTTTTTTTTTTAACCCCTCCTTCTCTTCCAGCTTCCCCTGGGGACCCTCTGGTCCCTCTCTCAGCCTGGGGAGCATAAGGTTTACTCCAAATTCCCTGGTTCTTTCAGGGTTAACCCTCCAAACAGCCTAGGTCCTTCCCAGGGTGAGCCAAAAGGGAAGAAGTCTCCTGACACTGAGCAGGGTAGGCTTCAGCCTTGTCCTTTAGTGGTGTTCAATTGTCTGCAAGTTAAAACCAAAAAGAAACTTTTTTCCCCCTCTGATGAGGGAAAGGGGAGAAAAGGTGAGATGGAGACTGAAGGTTATGCAGCATGGTCACCCCACCTTCACCTATGTGCTCCATTCCCTGGCCTTCTTCTGCCAGTGCTGGAGGTGACCTTGCAAGAAGAGTGACAGACTCTGATGCCCTTAAAAACTCGAGGGTCCCAAAGTGCAAATGCTTTTTAGAGGCAGCAGCCATAGCCTTCTACGGCCCCAAATACACCAAGCCCTTGAGAAAGGAGGAAGCCCTTGGAGGGAGCAGGATCTCTCTAGTGCCAGGGAGGTTTCTGGCACTAGCTAGGCCCAGAATGGACAACTCTAGGCAGGGGCTATCCCTTGGCAAGTGGTGGCCACTGGACTGTACCCAAGACCATGCCCCTTAGGTTTTGGTGGGGAGGGGGAGGGGAAGGGGAAGGTAGTCGGTAAACTGTGTGTGCTGCCAAGACCAGGGAATCTCGGACCATCCCTGAGGGGTGGGAGGCGGGGGAGAGAGGGCACTTTCACCTCCAGGATTTTAGTCTGTGGCTACTGATAATGGAGTGGGAATTAAGCAAAGTTAAAATAATCTGTTATGAAAAAAAAAATTAAATAAAATACCCCCCCCAATATTTTATTGGCTAGAGTAGCTCAGATTTGTTGCCCACAACCCCCAGTGGGAAAGAAGGAAGCCCCACAATGAAGGCAGTTACCTAGCTCCTTGGAGGCCAACTTCACCTGTTACTGAAACTGCTCAGAAGGAATTGGGGACATGAGTAAAGTTGGCAGAAACCTTGTGGAAAGCAGATGACCACAGTGAGGGGGGACGTGGGGTGTGTTGGTAACTGGTCTATCCAACTAACATGGAGAAGGTGCCCAACCGATATAGCTGTGGGGTCACTACTCAGTTCTCTGAGCAATTACAAGCAATAGGGGAGTAGAAAGCCAGGGATATATGCCTAAGTCTCCCTTGACTTCTTCAGCATGAAGTTCAAAGGTCAACCGGGAGAGGAAGAACTAGGGTCTAGACCTCAGTTCTGGTCACCTGGGATAGACAACCTCACAGTTTAAGAAGAGAGGAAAAGGGCCCTTTTTATCCCCAGCCTTGCCAAAGTCGGTGAGGCCTGAGAAATTGATGGTGAGCTGTGGCTCCCTGCAGATAAAAGCTAAAGCAGTATATTCCCACCCCACTCCCAAAATGAGGTGAGGGGGGTGGGGAAGAGAGAGAGAGAGAGAGAGAGAGAGAGAGAGAGAGAGAGAGAGAGAGAGAGAGAGAGAGAGAGAGAGAGAGAGAGAGAGAGAGAGAGAGAGAGAGAGAGAGAGAAAGAGAGAGAGGGGGAGAGACAGAGAGAGAGAAGTGATCTGTGCTGCCATGCTGGGTCAGGAAAATTGGGGTAGGGACCCTTCTGCCCTGAAGTCAGAGAAGGGCAGGCCTTCTTCCCAGGGAGGCAGCAGGAAAGGCCAACAGCAGGAACCTTGGACGGGTGGTGACTCCTCTTTTAATCAGTAGTGCTGAGAACAGGGGAGAGAAACATGTTTAAAAAAAAAATTCCACTGGTTCTGTCTGGAACTGTTCTTCCCCATCCCCCCAAACCCTGAATCTGAGGGCCTGAGACCCAGTGGTGCAGACTAGGATGGGTCCCCTCTCTTCCCCTGCCTGTTTCCATTCCCCAAGTTCTATTTCTGGGCATTGTAGGCCATGGTCCGCTGGTTCATGGGGTTGTCGGGGGACCTCATCCACTCCTTCTTCAACAGCTGTTTCAGCTGGGATAGACGCATGTTGGGGTTCTCCTTCTTCAGTCTTGGCAGATGCAGCTCCTCAAAGGCAGTAAAAGCAGCTTTCATGCGGCGCTCGGGGTGGCGGTCAGAGTCGTCATTAACACTGGAAGGAAGATGTGGCGGGACGCAGGAGGTGAGGGCTAAGCCCAGGAGGAGGGGGTGGCAAAGGTAAGGCCCAGGTGCCTGTGGAGTCAGCCAGCGCAGGCAGGCCTCTCTTCAGGGAGGAACCCAAGGGGAATGATGTCTGCAGCAGCCATCCCGCCCCTGAGGCCCTGCTTCCCACTCTGCTCCTCCCCGACCCATTACCCTGGGAAGCCCACCAGGCACCTGAGGACAGCTATGGCATCTTCGATCGTTCTGGCTTCCACGCTCCCCTCCTCGGGGACACGCCGGTTGACGTTCTCCTCCAAGGGTACTTCAAGGTGACTTTTTGGTTTGTCCACTGTCATAGAAAGAATGGATGGAGAGGGGGGCATTTTAAAAAGGAGATTATGGTGGCTGGTATCTGGACAAGGGTGTCACAGTACAGGTAAGCTAGCCGTTCTGAGGGAGCCTGGAGACTGCCCAGAGTAGGAGGCCTGCCTACAGGAGGGCCTTTCCTACAGCCTCACTGTTAGGGCCACACTCCCCCACGCCGGATGTGAGGTCCTCGAGGGCAGTTCCCAGCACAGTAGCTGGCACATAACACACACTTAATGAATGCTTTTGCTGAGTTGAAAGAAAAGCTGCTAAGTTGTGTCTGTCTCCAAGAGGAGGATGTATGAGAGGCTAAATGCACTTAATTTTCCAGGCTCTCTGCCCGAATTGACTGCCCTCCCCTCTGGGCCCCCTTGCTGGGCCAGGCTCAGTGATGAAGGCAGCACCCCCACCCCCCTTTGGGCAGCCAGCTTCGTCCTGCTGCTAGTCTCGCAGCAGCCTGTGCTCCCGTCCAGTCTCAGAGGCGGAGATCTGGGCTATTCAGGGGGGCCAGGAGGGGAGGACAGCCGCTCTGGGGGCCCACACCCTGTGGGAGCTGCCACTGCCCAACCTCTGGAAGGCAGATGGAGGAGCTCCGTGGCCACTGACCCTTCTGGGCAGTGCCTGCCGCTGGCTCTTCTGGGCAAACTTTTGAGCCGGAGCCCTTGACGTGGACCTCGTCTCTCCCTTAGGCTAGGGAGCACTCCAGCACTTCTGGGGAGGCGGCATGTTTCAGTGGAAAGAAAAATGGGTTTAGAATCCAAAGAACTGGGTTCAGATCAGACTCTGCAACTTATCAGCCATGTGGCTTTGGGCAAAACACTTTCCCTTACTAGGCCTTAATTTCCTCTTCTATACAGTGAAGGAGCTGGACTGAAGTGTCTGTGCTACCACTGGTGTCCCCCAGTCCACAGCCCACTTGTGACCCACCCTTTGGGACTCTCCAGCACACACTTTGTGATCCAGTGACTCTCTACCTCCTGACTCTGGCCATTTGCACTGGGGGCTGTCCCCCATGCCTGGAATGATCTCCCTCCTGGCTTCCCTGACCTAGCTAAAATCCCTACCTTCTACAGGAAGCCTTTTTTTTTGGGGGGGGGGCAAGATGCAATTGGAGTTAAGTGACTTGCCCAGGGTCACACAGCTAGTAAATGTCAAGTGTCTGAGGCTGGATTTGAACTTAGGTCCTCTTGACTACAGGGCCAGTGCTCTATCCACTGTAGCATCTAATTGCCCCTACAGGAAGCCTTTCTGATCCTCCTTAATGCTAGTGCCTTCCCTCCACTGATTACCTCCAATTTATCTTGTATCTTGTTTGCACAGTTGTTTTTAAGTTTTCTCCCCCACTAGATTGTGAGAGCAGGGGCTGTCTTGTCTTTCTTTGCACCTCCAGCATTGAGCAGAGTGTCTGGTACCTAGCAGGTGCTTAAAAAAATCTTTGTTGACTGAATGATTTACCTATCACAGGGGCAGTGAGCCCAGTAAGAACATGTCCCAACCAAACCATGGGCTGAAGGAAGAGGAAAGGGAGAGAAGGACACCTCCTTCCCTCTCTCTCTAGGGGTGGCAGGCCCCTCTGGACCACAGAGTGCAGGCTACCAGGGGCCTACCTGTCTCCTCATTCTCCTTCTGTTGCTGGTCTCGGCGCAGCGTCTCCTCTATCTGGGCCCGAGTCACTTTGCCTGGGGTCAGGGGCTTGGGCGACTTCCCCTTCAGCTTGGAGTCTTCTTCTTCCAGCAGCCTCTGCAATTCTTTCTTCCGTTCCAGCTGTTCTAAACGGCGCTTCTCCTTCTCCTCCTGTGGGAAGAGAAGAAAAGCCCTGGTCAATCCCAGGGTGCTCTGCTTCTACCAGACTATGCCAGTGTGGTGTCCCAGGCTCAGGCCTACCGGACATTGACCAGCTAGAGAATGTCCTGAGGGATATGGGAAATCATGGCATAGGAGCATCAGTTCAAGGAAGGGCATGTGTGACCCAGAGACGACTGAGCCACGGAAGAGGGGAATGTGGTCTGTCCTCAGGGACAGACCTAGGATTAATGGTAGAAGCTGACTTAGGTTCAACGGACACAGAGACTTTCTAACAGTGAAGACTAGAGTGTCACCTTAAGAGGGGCCAGGTTCCTTTTACTTTGTGATACTAATAGGTCCATACCCTAAAGAGATCACAGAGACAGGGGAAGGGCCCCGGGTACAAAAATATTTACAGCAGCTCTTTTCTTGATGCCAAAGACCTGGGAGCTGAGGGGGAGCCCCTCACTGGGGAATGGCTGCTCAGCCTAGGGCTTGAGAATGAAACAGAAGAGTGCCATGCCACTGGAAATGAGGGCGGGGCGGGATCATTTCAGAGAAACCAGGTCAGTCTTTTATCAACTGATAGAGTGAAGCTGGAGCAAAACCAGAACAATTTATACCACAATATGACCATGGTGTAAAAGACAAATAACTCTGACAGACTTAAGAACTCTGCTCAAGGCCAATGACCAGCAGACTCCAGAGGACCCATGATGCTGCCCACCCCCTGACAGAGCGCCGGCAGACTCAGGATGCCGATGGAGACACAGTTGTTGGGCATGACCAATGCAGACATTTGTTTTGCTTGACTCTGCATGTTTATTAAAAGGGTTCTGTTTTTCTTTTTTTGAGTGTGTGTGTGGAGGGGGAGGAAGGGGGTAATGTGTGAAAGTAAACTGATTAGTGTTAATTAGAATACATTTAAAAAAGAGGTAATGGGTTCCCCTTCTCACTGCAGGTGTTCAAGCAAAGGAGGCGGGAACAGGTTGGAGATCAATTAACCAATAAGCACGTATTAAGTTACTACTACCTGTACAAAGAATAAAGCAATCCCTACTCAAAAGCCTAAGGAACTTACATTCTAGTGGGGGAGAAAATAAGCACACAGATAAATATATAAAATGAAAAAATACAAACAAAGGCAACCTAGTTATGCCAGAAAAGGAATTAGCGTTAGGGAAGGCAGGTATTAGCAGTAGGGGAAGCTTAAGAAAGGTAGGTCATAGAAAACATTATCCATCATCTCCAGGCTGGGATGGATGGCCTCTGAGTTACCTGCCAACCCCAAAATTCTGAGACTGAGGGCCCTGGGCTGGAACCAGGCCAGCCAATCTAGCAAGTGAGCAGTGTCAGGAGAGGAAGAGGCAAGTCTAGTCTGACCCTCTCCCTGTCTGAGGTCATAGGAGGAACCATCAAGAGAACAGGAGGAGAGGCTAAAGAAAACAGAGCTGTAGGGGACCTGAGGGTACTTGAGGGGTGATGCCTTATTCATTTCTGTATCACAAAAGCTTATACATTGTAAACATCCTAGAATGTCTGTTGAATAAATGACTATGAATGAGAAAAAACAGAAATGTTTGGTCTATGGTTCCCCCCTACCCCCATCCCACTCCATTCCCACCCAGTAGAAGAGACTTGCTCTGACTGGACTCGGGGCTAAGAACTCTTCCAGGCCCAATATAAAGAAGTTATATAGAAAAGTTTCAAGTCAATTTAAGAAAGAAATTTCTAACCCATAGAATTATTTAAGAATGGAACATGCTGCTATTTCAAAAAAAAAAACAAGACAGGGCCAAAATACGTCTTTCTTAAGCTAACCTGAAAGACCTACACGATGAGGTCAGGACCTCCCATCACTTGCCCACCTGGCTGTTTTCCTGGACTTCATCACTATCTCCAGAAATCTCAGCATCTTGCAAGATCACAAACTTATACCTCCACAGTACTCCATGTTCCTGAGGCCCTTCTCTCCCTCTGACTGGTAAAGGAGGACACCATGGAAAGCTCCTCCCAGATCCTCCATTTAAGATAGGGATCCAGGGCAGCCACCAGCAGGATTTCTGGCTGAGTGACTTCATCATGTGCCTGGGGCTGGGTACACTTCCTCCTTCCTCCCATCCCCCTTTCACCTTCTTTCTGTGTGCTGCCTTCCACTATTAGACTTCGAGAGCCTCGAGGGCAGGAACTCTCTTTTGCCTTTCTTGTATCCCCAGTGCCAGCTAAGTAGCAGGCACTTAATAAATGTTTACTGACTGACAACCACTTAGTAAGCTTCTCCTCTCCGTTCATTTTCAGAGATAAATGACCCTTGTCCTACAGAAATTCTATCTACCGAGAGAGTTAACAATACACAAATGATTAGATTACAAAGCAAAATACAGTAAAGGGCAGAAGAGGAAGGTGGTAAGGAAGTGGTAAGGAAGACTTAGGGGTTAAGTCAGCAATGGCAGAGTTAGGAAAACAAGGATTTAAGAGCACTGGATTTAAGATCTAGATGGGAATTTAGAGATCCAGGCCCACAACCGCATTTTATAGACAAGGAAACTGAGGCCCAAAGGTGAGGCAACTCATCCAGGCCACAGACATAGCGAGCAGCGAAGCTGGCATGTGAAATCTGGGCCACAGGACTTCAAAACACACTACTTTCCATTTTTCCATGGTGTTTGGTTTTTTTTTGGGGGGGTAAATTGCGAGGGAATAAAAAACAGTTCATTCTGGTTGAAATATAAGAGCAATAATAGCTAGCATTTTTTAATAGTGCTTTAACTTTTGTAAAACACTTTGCAAACATATCTCATTTTCTTCACAACACTGGGAGGAAGGTGCTATTGCTATCTCCATTTTACAGATGAAGTGAAGTGACCTGCTCAGGGTCACACAGCTCATATCTCAAGTCAGGTATTCCAGACTCCAGATGCAGAGCTCTGTATTCACTGTGCCACCTAGCTGTCTCATAGAAGAGCTAGATGTGCACAGCCTGGCTTTCAGGTTTGCAAAGTGCAAAGATTATCTAATTGGAGTTTCACAGCACTCCTGGGAGGCAGGTGCCATTATTCTCCCCCTTCTGCAATGAGAAAACTGAGGCAGATAGGGGCTAAGTAATTTGTCCACAGTCCCACAGCTGGTAACACGTGTCTGATTTGAACCCAGGTCTTCCTGACTCCAGGCCCAGCGCTCCTTCTACTCCATTACCCAGCTGTATAAAATGGGAGCAGTGGGAGATAGGTTTGGGCAGGGCAGCTGGAGGTCGAATCACGAAGGGCCTCAGTGCTCATTTGAGGAACGGAATCTTTTGCCACGGACCATGGAGCAGGTGCCACGAGCAGGGGTTGAGCAAAGGAGAGAAACGGTCAGAGAGGGATTTTAGGCAGAGGACTGGAAGCCAGTGTTGCAGCAGTGCAAAGTATACAGAGTCTTTGGCATGCATACTGAGAAGAGCAGAGATAGCTCCTGGGCCCAGACCCTCACAGGCCACCAGTCTGACCCTCCGAGTTAAGTGACTTGTCTAAGGCAGTGCCAGAGTGAGGATCTGAGGCACAGCAGCATCTCTCCCATCGGACCCTCCTTCCTCATGGTTTTCTGCTCAGCCCTCTGGGCTCCCCTGCTTGACTCTCTGATCAGCTTTGCTTCCAGGTCCATGACAGAAGCTGTGTGAGAGGAAATGGTGCAACTCGCTCATGAAGCCAAGATTCTGGGATTGGCCTTCAGCCTGCGGTGCCGCTCACAGAGACGAGGAACAGTGCGGAGTCTTTGCGGCCGCCTCAGCTCCTCTCCTGGGGTTGGTCAGTTCATAAATGGCCTCAGACTAGTTTGTCAAAACCAGCAGGACAGAGGTGGCAAGGGCTGCCATTTCTGCCTGGGACACACTGGGCACTGGAAACCTCAGGCCTGGCCTATCTGCCCACTCCCCAGGCTTGCCTGGATGCTTGGGAGATGAGGCTCAGAGAAGGACAGGAACGTCAATCTGCAAGGCAGCAATGAAGGCTAACCTAGTACTGTTCCGCAGGGACACTCAACTCATCCTTCTCAGGGCCACTTGAAAGAATGGAATCTCTTCTTGTCACAGGTCTCCTTGCTTACAAGGAGGGTGGCCAGGACACGCGGCATTTTTTTTTTTACGGAGGGGGTGGGGATGGAGATGGGGAGGTGGGGGAGGGGAGAACTGATACCCCTTGAGGGCAGAAATGGTTCCATTTTTCATTTTTTCCTATGTCCAGAATTTAACACAGCGATTGGCACACGGTAGGCGTTTAATAAATGTTTGCTGATTGACAAGATACTCTGTATATGTGTGTATTTATGTCTTCATGTTGTCTCTCCCTAAATAATATGAATTCCTCAAGGACAGGGTCTGTTTCATTTTTGTCTTTCTATATTTAATTCCTGGCATACAGTGGAAGTTTAATAAATGATTGTTGATTGATTTGATAACTATACTTAGGGAGCAGTGGGTGAGTCTCACTCTACCCTTGTGAGCCAGACAGAGGAGTGAGCTAGATGATCTTACAGTTATGTGAAGTTGGTAAGCATTTAGTAAGTGCCTATTGTGTGCCAGGCACTGTGCTAAGTGCTAGGGATACAATTCCTGCCCTCAAGAAGTTCCCTGCCCAAGGGGCAGCTAGGTGGCAAAGTGGATCGAGCACTGGCCCTGAAGTCAGGAAGACCTGAGTTCAAATCCGGCCTCAGACACATAACACTTACTAGCTGTGTTGACCCTGGGCAAGCCACTTAACCCCAATTGCCTAAAAAAAAAAAAAAGACATTCCCCTCTCAAGGGAGAGACAACACGCAAACGCCCGTGTACAGAGGAAGCTGGAGGCACTAGCAATTGGCCAGACTGGAAAGGCTACTTGCAGAAGGTGGGATTTAGCTAGGCCCTAGCTGCTAGGGTTTGAAGAAAACCAGTGAAGTCAGGAGGCAGAAATGAGGAGGGAAAGCATGCCAGGCGTGCGAGACCGCCTGTGACAATGCCTGGAGTCAGGAGATGGAGTGTCTTGTCCAAGGAA